GATTTGGAGTGATACAGGAAACAGATGGGCATAGCCTCGTGTGCAAGGCTGCACGCGCACAAAATGAGAGTTGCGCCAAGCAGAACTGTCCTACTAGGAAGCCCCCCCTTAAATTTAACCCCCTAAACCCTAAACCCTAAACCACGTCCCACCAGATCACCAGACCAGATCACCAGCCACATCCTCAACTGAAGGTTCAGAATACAAATTCCCTGAGAACTTCACGGGGCTTATGTACTTGGAAGTGCTTGGCTGTACGCCCAAGGCAGGAGGCCAGCACCAATCGGAACAACAAGAGGATTCCGAGTAATCTGGATAAGGTACCTTGTAGACCAAAAGAAACATCCTTGTTCAAAGCTGCCCTCAACCGAAAAGCTTCGGAAATCTTCTGGCTCGGTACTGCTCGGTAATGCATGCTGCTGAGTTGAGACTGCCCCTCAGGGCAGGCACAGGCATTTGGTTGGTAAGTCACGCGGGCAGCGCGGTCCCTTTGTCAGAAGCTTTAGGCCGCATCGGAATTTGGACCCCGGAAAGACATTTAGAGAAGCTTGCATGTGTTCTTGGCTGTGTGGACCGCTTTCGCCGATGAGACAAGGGACGCGGCACATGAGCGCGCGTGGCCGAAATTCACACGGCGCTTCTCAGATGAGCCAAGTCTGATGGCCCATATGCGGCAGGGTTTATATTTCTGTTCTTGGTGAGTGTATATAAGGTTCCTTTTTTCACATTGGTGAGTGTAGATCATTGGTGTCCCATTGGGGATACAAGGAATAAAAGCCCTACTTCATATCTTCAAAAGGGCATCCATTCGTCTCGGGGTTTTTCTGCTTTCCCGGCGAGCCGGGTGGGGGGGGGGGGGTGGTGGTGTACAACAGTACAGATGGATGGCCTCATCAATCATGATCGCGCATAGAGCCGATGGACTCCGCCGTCGCCAGAAGGATGTCAGAAACGCGACACAGTGAGCTTCACTGGCACGAAACCCCATGCAGATGCGAAAGCCCTAAACCTTAAAAACCTTAAAGCCCTGTAAACCCTATAAACCCCATAAACCCCATAACCCCCATAGACCCCATAAACCCGAAACCCAACAGAACACGGCGGCACAGACATGTTTTTGCCATCGGCTGGAGCCTCGGAGAGGTTTCTCTAATCTCTAGGCTCCTGGCTATCTAGGTCTCAATTGTAGGTTTTCGTTTAGGGTCTAGGGTTTGGGGTGTGGGGTTTGGGTTTAGGGTTCTAGGTACTTCAGCGACGAGGTCACAAACCCTGCATCGGCTGGCCACATAGTGGTAGGACTTGCATCGGAACAGGGGGTATTGGGGCGGGGGGGATGGGGGGGGGAGGGAAGCATAATGGCGGCAATGGGGGGGTAGTAGGGGGCGTTAGGGGGCATGAGGGGTAGCGGGTACAGGAAACGGCTCATCTGAGGGTGACTGTTTTTTTTCATCCGCCAACGTTTTTTCGCGACCTGGTCGTTTCTGCCTCCTGCTGGGGTCAAGTTCCGGAAAACGAGCTCAGCCACTAACCCTGGCAGGAAGTGGAACCCTAAACCCTAAACCCTAACCCCTAAGCCCTAAACCCTAAACCCTAAACCCTATAAACCCCAAACCCTAAACCCTAAAGCCCTAAGCCCTAAACCCTAAACCCTAAACCCTAAACCCTAAACCCTAAACCCTAAACCCTAAACCCTAAACCCTACTGTAAACCCTAAACCCTAAACCCTAAACCCTAAACCCTAAACCCTAAACCCTAAGCCCTGGCAGGAAGTGGGGAAGCAAGGATCCCTATAGACCCCACGCTGCTAATGCGAAGTTCAATGGACCTTCGAAGAAGGCACACGGTGCCTTGAAGAAAAGTTCCCGGCCCGCAACCATTAGGGAGGTTTGTAATGTTTAGGGTTTAGGGTTTAGGGTTTAGGGTTTAGGGTTTTAGAGGTGTAAGAAGGGTGTAGGACACATATAGGGAAATCAACATAAACCCTAGACCCTAAACCCTAAACCCTAAACCGAAAACGGGTGCCAAACAAATCCTAAAACTAGGACCGGGCGTAGGCCCTTGTTTCCTTTTTTTAGGGGTGGGGTTCCCTTATAATCCCCTGAAAACCAAAACCCGTGTGGTTTTGCCCGGGGTCGCCCTAAACCCTAAACCCAAAACCCTAAACCCTAAACCCTAAACCCCAAACCCTAAACCCTAAACCCCAAACCCTAAACCCCAAACCCCAAACCCTAAACCTCTGGGCTTGTAGGATGTCTAAGCTTCGGGCTTGTAGCGTTCAATCTCAAGTACTTTGGCAGGTCAGGATACTCATGAGAGAAGGGCTTTTGAATGGGGTTAGGGTTCAGTTTTTGTTCGGGCTCAGCTTTTTTTTTTTTTTTTTTTGGGGGGGGGGGGGGGTCCATATTTGGGGTTTAGGGTTTGGGTTTCAGGCTTCAATTTTGTTGGGCGCGGGTTTTAGGGTTTTGGTGGGCGTGGAGGCCCATCAAACTCTACACATGGCAACTGTATCATTCTTTAGGGTATTTATGTATATGTGCATATTGTTATATATCCATGTGTATTTATGTTTATACTATTTTTCGTTTCAACCCTCTGTACACCCTAGCAACCCGTGTACATGTTGTTATGCATGAACCGCCAAGAAGGGTTGAGGGCTCTTCGCCGGGCGCGGGGGCTAAAGTTCAAGGCACATCGTGGCACATCGATGCGAGCAATGTGACTGCTCGACGCCCGAGCTCGCGGCCCTGCGGCACGGAACCTCGAAATTTTGTCAACCCTCGACCCTCAACCCTCAACCCTCAACCCCTAAACCCTAAACCCTAAACCCTACCGGCTCATCAGAGACAGCTTGCAAAAAAAAACCCAAACTCTAGCCTTCTGGTCGGAGTGGAGCAAAACTCCGTACTTCGAGGAGCCCATACAGTTTAGCCAATCGGTAAGTCTTGCTTTGGGTGTAGGGTTTTGGGGTTCTAGGGTTTAGGGCTTGCAAAAAAGAATTGTTTAGGGTTTTGGGTTCAGGGTTTAGGGTTTGCCTTCCTAGAAACAGGACATGAGTGTTTTGGGGGCGGTGGGTGGGGCATGCTAAGGTCTTTTGAAGGGGTACCGCTTCGGGAAATGCACATTTACTTGTCAGCCCTTTCTGCTGGCAACCGCTCTGAGAATCTGCAAGATGGCAAACAAAACCTTGTGGGTTCATATAGGGATGAAGAGGCTTAGGGCGGTTTAGGAATTGAGGGTTTGCGGTTGAGGCGCGCTCGGACAAGCCTGTGCAACAGGGTTTAGGGTTTAGGGTTCAGGGGCCCGAAACCCTAAACCCAAGAGCTGTGATTGATCCAGCTGCTGCATGGACGCTGGCCTCTACAGGCATGATTTTCGACGTTTCTACCCTGGTCCTCAGGAGGGAGCCTGGAAAGATTTAGGGCTTGGGGGGGTTCAGGGTCTATGCTTTACATCAGAAGTCGTGTATAGATGTATGTATGTATGTATGTACATCCTAAACTAGACCTTGTTGTAGGTCTTGTCGGATTTCAATGAGGCTTGGGCCTGCTAGGGTTTAGGGTTTAGGGTTTAGGGTTGAGGGTTTGGGGTTTAGGGTTTAGGGTTTAGGGTTTTAAGGAGGGGGCTGGTCCTCAAGCCCAGTTGCAAAGAGGGTTTTAAGGAGGGCATGTATAAGGGATCCGAATCTCAGGTGTTCGTTTCGGGATCTTCAGGTCGGTCTCATGTGGGTGGTGGTTCATTAGGGTCTAAGTTTAGGGCTTAGGGTTTAGGGTTTAGGGTTTAGGGTTTAGGGTTTAGGGTTTAGGGTTTAGGGTTTAGGGTTTAGGGTTTGCGGTTCAGGGTTCAGGGTGCAGGGTTCAGGGTTCAGGGTTCATGACCGATGGCTACACCCCAACTGTGTCCATTCCAGCGCTCACCGCGGCCGTTCGTTCTCAAGACTGCTGTGACAACGTCTTGGCCGTGAACAACGTTCACGTGCCGGACTCGAGGAGAAAAGGGAACGTCATCGGCGCAGGAATTCCTTCCTCCATCCTCCACCCGCACGGTCGCATCCCAGATATGAGACTCTTACACTGGCTCCTCCTTGTGAAGAAGTAGTTGTGACTTTATTATTTCCTAAGCCCGAACCGGCCCGAAACCCTGACCCCCCGGCCCCCCCTGCAGCTGCAGAGACCCTTCTAGCCCCAGAATTGGCATCCTACGACTCCAAGGCTTTAGGGTTTAGGGTCTAGGGTCTAGGGTAGAACCCCAACAACGCCTAAGCCCAACACACCAACCAAACGCCCTGCCGAGGGTTTTGACTCCGGACTACGAAAAACTGTACGGGAGCATTCTGTCTTCAGGGCTTAGAGGCCTGAGTTAAGGCTTTCGCGTTAAGGGTCTTATTGTTTAAACTATGCAAGGCCGGTCGTGGGCAGCGGAGTCTGATTTCAGCTACCTGGTTTACTCCCTTGTAATTAGTGAAGATAGTCCCCTATTTGTCGCCCCCCCCAAACTCTCCAAGGGCATACTCTCATGCACCCAATGTGGCGCTAGACGGCAGTGTACACTTGCGATGAAGTTGAGACACGTGGGTACATCCTCTCGCCCGGACGCTGGCTCCATGTTCCGCAGAGCAAACCCCCAAAAACCCCTCATGAACCCTCAACCCTACAACCCCCAAAAACCAAAACAGAGTCGGACTTCGGTAGCAGAGCGGGCGAAATAAAAAACTCAGCCCCAAAGCCCTAAACCCTGAACCAAACTACCCTCCTAAAGCCTAAACCCTTAAGCCCGTGAGCCCCAGCTCGGAGACCCCCAAGAACCCCCCAGTCCCTACAGATCCCTTAAAGAAGCCCGAAGATGAATCTCAAGACCGCAAAGCCTCAGATCACTAACCCTAAACCCTAAACCCTAAACCCTAAACCCTAAACCCTAAACCCTAAACCCTAAACCCTAAACCCTAGAGAAACCAAGATCCGCAAGTCCTTTTAGGCCCTCTCCCTAGCCCGCGGCCTGGGGCCATGAGGGACATCCTATTTTCCTTGGTCTCCTTGGCTTCGGCTGGGCAGGCGCCAAGCCAGAAGCCGTCAGGGTTCAGGGTTTAGGGTTTAGGGTTTAGGGAGATCCAAACTCGCCTAAACAGAGTTCGTCTTCACATTCGTATACCTTCCCCCCCTCTTCTTCCCTATAATAATGGAGTTGTAGGATTCGTTTTGTAAGATCAGGGCGTTTTGTTCAAGGATGTCTCGCGCGCTTCAGGGGCCAAGGGGGGAGCCGTGGGTTTTAGGGTTTAGGGTTTAGGGTTTAGGGCTCAGGGCTCAGGGCTTAGGGCTCAGGGCTTAGGGCTCAGGGCTTCGCTCCCCCTCTTTACAGGACACGGTGGTGCCAAGCTGCCGGACAGGATACCAGGACATCACAGGCGGGAAGGCGTACCTGGAATGCCTTTGGCAGCATTTTCTTGCACACCTTGGCTTGGGTTTTCATGGTTTTCCAAGCCCCAAGAGCCTGCCAGGACAGGTTGAGGGTTTAGGGTTTAGGGTTTGGGGTTTGGGGTTTGGGGTTTAGTGTTTAGGGTTCAGGGCTGGAAGATCCCATTAAGTCTCGGTTTGATGGTTTATGGTCGGGACTACAGGACATGAATGTGTGAACTTGTATGAGTCTTGCGCAAAAGCAAAGAGAGTGTTTTCCAAGGTACAGTTGGTCTTGCGCCCACCACTGCGTTGGTGGCCCCAACTTTGCCACGGAGAATTGCGGGTGTGCCTGCCTCTCTCAGGACCAGATTCAGGACCCAAGTGCAGTTTTTTGTTGCGTCGCTTTGTCCTCTGCCGAGCCTCTACCTATAGTGATTAGACTCGGGAGCTCGCTGTCCCGTGAGGAACCGAAAGAAGATATCAAGAATTGCACCTTAAACCCCAAACCCCAAACCCCAAACCCCAAACCCCAAACCCCAAACCCCCAAACCCCCAAACCCCCAAACCCCCAAACCCCCAAACTAAACCCTAAACCCTAAACCCTAAACCCTAAACCCTAAACCCTTGCCAGTGTGAGAGCCAAATATGTCTAGCGCTCCACAGCATGAGGAGGCGGATTCTGGCACTGCCCTCACCACGGCCCGCATTGTCGGGCAGGCTCCTGGGGGACGAAATGAAGCCTAAAAAGGGTTTATGGCTCATATACCTTAATAGAAATTAGAGTAGGATCGGGGTTACGGTTCATAAGTATCGGGAAAATTTCGGGTTCATTTGCCTTCATAGGAGTTTTTATTTAGGGTTCATGTACCTTAATAGGAATTATAGTAGTATAAGGTTCTATTCAGGGTTTATATGCCTTCATAGGAGTTATAGGAGTATAGGGTATATTTAGGGTTCAGATTCCTTTATAGGAGTTGTAGTAGGAGACGGTATATGACACCAATTTTAGGGTTCATTTGGTCCCCAAGGCTGGTGAGATTCTGGTCACATCGGCACCTCCCACAGACGTCCATGGACAGCTGCCTGTGCAAGAGCTTCCCGTCGGCGAGCTGCAGGATGGGGGAGGGCATGGGTTTAGGGTTTAGGGTTTAGGGGTTAGGGGTTAGGGGTTAGGGGTTAGGGTTCAGGGTTCAGGGTTCAGGGTTCAGGGTTCAGGGTTTAGGGTTTAGGGTTTATTTAGGGTTTAGGGGAGACATGTGATTTGAGAAGATAGCGCCATTTCCGTGCACATCTTTTCTTGAATGTTCGCCGTCCACGAAGTATGTGAGCAGACGCCTTTTTCCGCAACCGTGTTGATGAGTTCGTTGATTCCTTGCTCTTTCCTTACAACTTCTGGTGTTTGCGCGATCATTTCACTCTTCCTGCATGACTACCTGGCATTGGACTCTTTTGAGGCGGAGCTTTGCTGGTTATTTGACCACCCTAGACAGGCCCCAACGATTCCGAAGTCCGGACCGCTTGAACCCTAACCCTAAACCCTAAACCCTAAACCCTAAACCCTAAACCCTAAACCCCCTGAAAGGATGGCGGGCCAGTTCCGGACGATCCAAGACCTGACAACTTCGAGGCACCTTCGCGCTCCACCACGGAAGCCGCGCCGGCGCCCGAGGAGACCGGACCTGCGTTTTGTGGATATTGTTTTTTAAACCCCGGGTTTAGGGTTTAGGGTTTAGGGTTTAGGGTTTAGGGTCTAGGGCTCATTTTCTGCTGGCAGTCATCAAGTCCAGTTTCAAACGGGGTTTACGGTTTGGGGTTTAGGGTCTAGGGTTTTTCGGGCTTTTCGGGTACACGGTTTAGGGCCACCAGGTTTGGTGGTGGGGAGTCCTTAGGGACGTCGCGCCTCCTTCTCCCTTGCCCCCCTCGCCTCTGCCCCCTCCACTGACCAAGTCCCGCTCTCTCCTTGGGGACGAAATGAACCCTAAAATGGTTTATGATGCTTCATATACCTTAGTAGGAATTATAGTAGTATAGTAGGAATTATAGTCGTATAGTAGGAATTATAGTAGTATAGGGCCATATGACCCCAATTGCTGCTGTGTTTGCTGGATATGCTGGGGCAGGGCTTCATTCAGTACTGGTAGCGCAAGATGCAAGAAGGTCGAAGACTCCAGGCCATGGACCATCCGGACAGAGCGCGTGATTCAAAGCTGTCTAGTGCGAAGCATGCGCCGTCTCCGTTTTGGATGCTTCAGGCGCCAGCTGCGACCGTGTGGTCATGAACAGTCCTAACCCGAAACCCCAAACCCTGAACCCTAAAACCTTAACCCTAAACCCCAATCCTGTCTTCAGCCAAGGAGTCAGGAGATCTTCGGCAGGCTCCGGTGAAACAAGCCCTAAAAACCTGAAACCGAGTTTAGGGTAGACGGTTCAGCCACCCGAAGAACTAGGGGGTTTAGGGTGTTTAGGGGGTTTAGGGGGTTTCGGGGTCTAGGCATTTAGGGTTTAGGGATTTAGGGTTAGGGTTCAGGTCCTTTTTTTATCCCCTGCGGCACAGCTGGTGTGAATCCACATCACAGGGATGTCCTCAAGATACTGATCATTTGGGGGTTTCCGACATTTAGGGTTCACAGGGTTTAGAGTGTAGAGTGCAAACCTTCAGCCTGAACCCCTAAGCAGACTTCCAGGGATCTGCAGTACCCTTGGGACCCCCAGCCCACGGCCGAAGGGCGTGTAGGGTTTAGAGCTTACAGTAAATGCCAGAAAGTTGGAACATGGGTTTAGGGTAATTGGTACTGGGTTTCCCCATATTTGACCTTCAGAGCATTTAGGATGTTGATGTTCTTTCTGGAGTTTCCTATAGGGTGTGGACCTCCACGTCTGAAGCCCTCGACTCACTCAGAGACCCCTGTAGAAGTGAGGATTTCGGATCTAGGGGTTTAGGGGTGTAGGGTTTAGGGTATAGGGTTCTAAACCCCCTAATAACCTAATAAACCCCCTAAACCCCCTAAACCCCCTAAAGCCCCCTAAAGCCCCCTAAAAACCCCCTAAACCTCCTAAACCCCCCAAAACCCCCTAAAACCCCCTAAACCCCCTAAACCCCCCTAAGCCCCCTAAACTTCCCGTGGTGGCCTCAGGTGCTCATGATAGCCGTCGGCCTTGCGTTCTTGCTCATCGCCGCCTCCACGGCCGCCACCTTTGCGTACCGGCGAGGCATGCTCCCCTGCAAGCCACGGGGGTTCGAGTTGAAGATCCAGGTGGCTGAAGAAGAGCGCCTGGGCGTTTTAGAGAGCTTTTGGTTCCCTTCTAAGCGCCTTCAAGATTACTCTTGGGTCACCCTAAACCCTAAACCCTAAACCTAAACCCTCACCCTCAACCCTAAACCCTAAACCCTCTTGGGTCTAGTAATCTCAAAGGTGTCCGGAGCCGGGGCTGGCCAGCCGCACCGGACCGCGCTTCAGTCTGTCGAGCCGCGGCAGCGGCGCTTGTGCTGAACCCGGCGCAAGGAGGACGGGCGTTTGGGGTTTGGGGTTTGGGGTTTGGGTTTAGGGTTTAGGGTTTAGGGTTTAGGGTTTAGGGTTTAGGGTTTAGGGTTTAGGGTTTTGGGTCTAGGGTCTAGGGTCTAGGGTCTAGGGTCTAGGGTCTATAGGGTTTAGGGTTTAGGGTTTAGGGTTTAGGGTTTAGGGTTTAGGGTTTAGGGTTTAGGGTTTAGGGTTTAGGGTTAGGGTTTGCAGTTTGGGGTTTTGGGTTTAGGGTTTGCAGTTTGGGGTTTTGGGTTTAGGACCCCGCAGGAGTACTGCATCAGGAAGTTTGCTGAACGGTAAGAGCTTGGGATGTCCCCCCTTGTACTAGTTCTTCATAGGGATGATAATAGGGGGTTCGATAAGCCCTATCAAGGACCCAAATAAGTACCATGAACCCAGACAGGCATGAGTGCTGCGCATATTTCAGTTGCACGACTGCTAGTTGCTGAATTAAGAACCCCCCCCCCGCAAAAAAAAAAAAAAAAAAATATATATATATATGTATGTATATATGAGAAAAACATCTTCCTTACAAGGGCAATATATAGGGGTTTTTATCTTTCATGCTTTTGGGGTTCTTAAGCAAATGGCTAAACCCTAAACCCTAAACCCTAAATCACGGTGCTGGCACTCTCCAAACATGGCCAGCTTGTGTCCGCTTGTCCGCGCACAGTGAGCTCAGGTCACACTTGTTTGCCGCGAGTGTAAGAGCATCTAAGCTTGGGGTTTAGGGTTTAGGGTTTAGGTTTTAGGGTTTAGGTTTTAGAGTTTTAGGGTTTAGGGTTTAGGGCGGCATCTGAATGAGCTTCTTGAAACAAATCTGCGGCTTCGTTTCGTTGGAGAACTCAGCAGGCGTGTTTTAGCCTGTCGACCTCACATTTTCATCTATGTACATACATACATATATATATATACATGAATGTTAAGCTTGCTATGAGTCTTCCTAACGACACGGACACATGAGCTCCAGGTCAAGCAGAGCCTCCATCAGCTCCACGCGGGATCCGGGGAGTTCCTCGTCTTCTTCAGTTTTAGGGTTTTAGGGTTTTAGGGTTTTAGGGTTTTAGGGTTTTAGGGTTTTAGGGTTTTAGGGTTTTAGGGTTTTAGGGTTTTAGGGTTTTAGGGTTCTAGGCTTCTAGGGTTCTAGGGTTCTGGAGTTTTAGGGTTTTAGGGTTCTAGGGTTTTGGAGTTTTAGGGTTTTAGGGTTTTGGGGTTTTAGGGTTTTAGGGTTGTAGGGTTTTTGGGTTTTAGGGCTTTAGGGCTTTAGGGCTTTAGGGCTTTAGGGCTTTAGGAATTTTGGGCTTTAGGGCTTTAGGGCTTCAGGGCTTCAGGGTTTTAGGGTTTTAGGGTTTCAGGTGTTTAGGGCTTCAGGGTTTTAGGGCTTAGGGTTGGGGTTTGGGGGTTAGGGTTTAGGGTTTGGGGTTTCAGGGATTCGGGTGCGCAGTCCTGGTTGTAAAAGGGTTTGGGGTGTAGGGTATACACATTTTGAAGGCATTCGTCTAGTCTTTTGTTGCGGACACTTGAACCTAAGTGCACATAAGCTTAGGGTTTGGGGTTTAGGGTTTAGGGTTTAGGGTTTAGGGTGAAGGCGAGTACGGGGGACGGCTTTCAGTGCGCATGTGTGCGGGAGTCTTGTGCCGAGACTGCAAGCACCCCTGAGCCATAAACCGAGTAACTTGTGCACCTTTCGCAGCAATCCCTAGCGCACAAAATTCTGAACCCTAAGCCCTAAACCCTAAACCCTGAACCCTAAACCCTAAACCCTAAACCCCTTCTTACCCTATACCCCTAAAAACCTAGTCAGACGGCCGATGCGCTGCTTTTGTTACCGAGAGCCATCTAGAGCCTTACCTTCGCGCGCGCACCAGTCGTGAGAGTTGAAACCCTAAAACTGTACTTTAATGTTGTTTCTTGGTTCTGGGAAAACTTGGGTTTTGGAATATTGTACTTTAATGTTGTTTCTTGGTTCTGGGAAAACTTGGGTTTTGGATTATTGTACTTTAATGTTGTTTCTTGGTTCTGGGAAAACTTGGGTTTTGGATTATTATATTTTGATGTTGTTTCTTGGTTCTGGGAAAAATTGGGTTTTGGATTATTATACTTTAATGTTGTTTCTTGGTTCTGGGAAAACTTGGGTTTTGGATTATTGTACTTTAATGTTGTTTTTTGGTTCTGGGTTTCTATTATAGCTACTGTTAGCTACTTATGGATTATTGTACTTTAATGTTGTTTCTTGGTTCTGGGTTTTCTATTATAGCTACTTATACCTAAGCCCTTCTTACCCTAAAACCTTCAGCCAGACACTCCTGAGCGTTGGCCAAGGCCCGCCTCGAACCCTTTCAGAGGAACCTCGCAGGTCCTCCGGCCCGCAAGGGTTTGTGTGGTTAGGGTTTAGGGTTTAGGGTTTAGGGTTTAGGGTTTAGGGTTTAGGGTTTAGGGTTTAGGGTTTAGGGTTTAGGGTTTAGGGTTTAGGGTTTATGATCTATTTAGGGGTTAGGCTCTTGGGGCTTTCGGACGTTTATGATTTTGAGGGCTTGCCGTGCCATCGGTTATACGCTGGCGAGTCTCAGCCTGCAAGGAAGGCCGGATTGTAGGCGGCCCTTCTTCCATCATATCACCCCCACGCCCATGGCAACCGGGCGTCCGAAGCCCTGAGTGTGTGCTTAGGGCCCCGAGGTTTTGGGTGAGTGCTCGGGTTCGGCTCAGTTGTCATCTGTTCATTTCAGCTTCGGCTTTCTCGAGTTCAGGGTTGATTCGCCTGCTTCGCGTTGAGCATGGGTTTGCCGTCTGCTTCAACCCCCTGGGCCTGGTTCTTAGTAGGGGATACGGGAATGAGGCAACTATATATGCCCCTATAGATACCCTTCAAGAGAGAGAGAGAGAGAGAGAGAGAGAGAGAGAGAGCGAGAGGGAGAGAGAGAGAGAGAGATATATATATATATGGTCAGCCCCCCCCCCATGATCCACACCTATGGTTTTCTTGTCTTCGTCTTTGTCTGATTTTCTGCTTTTTCCTCGGAAAAATACAGTCAAAACTGCACTGGAATACAAAAAGCTCTAGTATATTATCCTCTATAAAACACTAGTGTTTTTATGGGCATTTTGCTTCTGAAACTTGTGTCTTGCGGCCCCATGAAATTTTTGAAGGGTAGCAATTAGAAGTTTAAGGCTTTTCAGGGTTTAAGGGGTTTGTAAAATGTAGATGATCTGTGGAAGGCACCGGGGCTTCCCCAGACCATTTGCAATTTTAAAAATCCTTTAAAGGGGCAGCCCTTTTCAAATTTGAAGGGTTTTAAGGTACTTAAAGCCTTTCAAAAATTTCAAGATTTAGAGGATCTTAAAAGGCTTTAAAGCCCTTAAAAACCTCGAAGCGTTTATCCCTTAAAAGTCTAAAATTCCTTAAAAATTAAAAACGGGCAGCCGTTTAAAATTAAGGAAGTTACGGATTTTAGAATCGAACATCCTAAAAACTTTAAACTTCAAAAGGACAGCCATTTACAACTGCAAGAATTTCAGGGTTTTACGGATTTGTAAAAATCTATATGGTCTGGGGAAGGCACCGGGGCTTCTCCAGACCATTGGCAACTTCAAAAATCTCTAAAATCCGCAAAGGGCAGCCACTTAAATACGTAAGCAATTTAAGGTCTTTAATAGGCTTAAAAGCCTTAAAACCTTCAAAATCCTGAGAATGTTTAAACAGAAGCTTAAAGATTTTTATAAGATTTTAAGGATTTTCAAAGTTTAGATGGTCTGGGGAAGCCCCAGTGCCTTCCCCAGATCATGTAAACTTGCAAAAACCCTTAAACCCTTAACCCTAAAAACTTAACACTAAGCCCGTAGCACAAACCCCAAACACTTAACATGAAAGCCTAAACACTAACCCTAAACACTTAACACTAAGCCCTTAGCACAAACCCCAAACACTTAACATGAAACCCTAAACATTTAACTAGACCCTAAACACTAAACCCTAAACACGTAAACACTACACCCGACCCTAAAAACTAAACCCTAAACACTAAACCCTAAACATTACACACTAAACCCTACACACTAAACCCTGAACACTAGTAAAAATCCTTAAAACCCTTAATCCAAAAAACCAAACCCGAAACCCTTAACACTAAACCCGAAACACTCAGCACTAGACCCTAAAGAGTAACCCTAAAAAACTTAACACTAGGCCCACGAACCCCAAACACTTGACACGAAACCCTAAACACATAAGCACTACTAAACCCTAAAAACTCAGCACCAGACCCTAAACACGAACCCTAAAAACTTAAGACTAAGCCCTTAGCACAAACCCCAAACACTTAACAGGAAACCCTAAACACTTAAGCACTAGACCCTGAACACTAAACCCTAAACCCTTAAACACTACACCCTAAAAACTAAACCCTAAACATTACACACTAAACCCTACACACTAAACCCTGAACACTAGTAAAAACCCTTAAAACCCGTAACCCAAAAAAGAAACCGAAACCCTTAGCACTGAACCCTAAACACTCAGAAGTAGACCCTTAACACTAAGCCTAAAAGCTTAACACTAAGCCCTTAGCACGAACCCCAAACACTGAACACGAAACCCTAAACACTTAAGCACTAATCCCTTTCTAAACACTAAACCCAAAACACTTAAACACTACACCCTAAAAACTATGCCCTAAACATTACACACTAAACCCTACACACTAAACCCTGAAAACTGAACCCTAAACCCTAAACAGAAGGATTTTCAAGTTGTCAATGGTCTGGAGAAGCCCCGTTGCCTTCCCCAGGTCATTTAAATTTGTAAAAATCCTTAAAACCCTTAACCATAAAAAACCAAACCCGAAACCCTTAACACTAAACCCTAAACACTAACCCTAAAGCTTAATACTAAGCCCTTAGCACAAACCCCAAACACTTAGCACGAAACCCTAAACACTTTAGCACTTAACCCAAAAACTAAACCTTAAACATTTCAAACTAAACCCTAA